CCATATGCGTCAGGAGCTGGCGGTGAGCTAATCGACGCCCCCCAACCCGGGCCCTTGTACACCTTCCCTCTCATCTGCTGCCCCTCCAGTCTCAAATGTCACACCACCTGGGACGGACAGCTGTCGGCCTGCAACTGGAGCCGGGCGCCGGTCCGGCCTGGCCTCGCACCTCAGGCCGACGGTGTCACTGACGCCCCGGTGGGACGGTGAGTGCAGGGTGGGAAGGGGGAGGTAGGGTCCGGCGGGGTAGCCCTCGCGGACAAATAAAATTTTTAACACGCCCACTCATGCACATATATACGCACACACATGTATAAGGATAAAGTCACCGAGCACCTTGTGCAGAAAGAGGAATATCACACAAGACCAAAGAGTATTGGCTTGCAGTTTTGTGGGCGCACAGAAAATAAAAACACGAAAATGGCAAAGCGGCAGAGGATACAGCTGGCGATGACGTGAGGCTCTGAAAAGCGCCAGGAAAGACAGGGAGGGAGGAGGGGAGGGAGGAGAAGAGGGAGGAGAGGAGAGGCTGATCTTCAGGGGCTGGACAAAGAGGCAAAGGGAGCCAGGACGGCCTCGTCAGCGCCTGGCTGCACTGTCGGCATGTAACAAAGGCGCATAAAGGCGCGGCGTCGAGGCGCCGTGACACGCCGCCATTGCCATTCCAAAGGCTCTGGCTCCGGGACTCGAGAGCAGCGAAGGAAGTGCCATTCCAGGGGGCGAGAGAGCCGGAGTGAGGAGCCGAAAACGGGCCTAGTCTAAATATAGCCGGAGCCCGAACCACATCGTGGGGACAGCAGAGAGCGGGAGAGGTAGCAATCAATATTGAAACACAGAAATTAGGGATTTAAAGCAGTAATTAGTGCGTGGGGGGGGGGCATTCTCACACCTGTATGAAGCCCTGGCTGCCAGCTCTGCACATCTGGCCCGATCCACCTGCCAAACACCTGGCGCCGCCTCAATGGTGCCTGATTGCTCTCCACGCCGGCCCCTTTCAGCGCCTCCGCGAGCCGCACGCCGCATTCGCAGGTGCCTTTCAAAGACGCTCCGCGCCTCAGCACCTCCTTTATCCCGGGTTCCTGCATCGCTAATTTCCGCGGATTAGACTTCGGATGTCTTTAAATATGGATGTTGGTGCCGGTGGCTGTCCCCCCCCCCCTGCTTTTTTTTAAACACAGGCCTGCCAGAATAATTTGAATGTGTAATTTTTTTGACCCCCGAACAGAAACTAAAAAAGGGGAATACGTATCAATCCGTTTGCGAGGAGGGAGCGCTGCCAGGGATCCCTGCGTCTCATCCTGGCCTTCAGGACCGTGTCCTCTGTGCCTGGAAGTTTTGATTTCCCCGGCAGTCCTGGTGGAAGTCCATGTGGTGCCCTAGGCAAGCTTCACCACCGTCTGAGACAAAGTTAAATTGGCTTGCTAAGGCGGCACCACCTACTGTATGTTGTCTATGTCACCTAATGGCCTGACCGGATCTGTTCCCCAGTGAAATAAACCTGAGCATCTGCCAACAGCCAGGACACAGTCAGAGAGGTGACTGCAGACGACTTGTCCTGAAAGTCTTTCAGCGAGAAGGTGATTATAGACAAGGGAAAATTCAAGGTGGCTGAGAACGTTGCCTCTTCTGTAATTCTGTTGAAGTTGGTTAACCACTTCATATAAGCAAAAAACAAGTCAAATGGAAACAGTATGATGAAGCCAAACAGTTTTATTAAGAAATGAAATGTGAATAAACCAGCTGTCAATATTACTATGATACATTAAACGGTACGTCCATACAGTAACATGTACCTTTGCCTTATGCCTGTCTCCAGCTGGGTTTCCTTTTGACTGCCTGTGATTTATTTACATCTTTGTCGATGATGCAAGTCCAAGCCGCAGGCTGGCAGGCTCATTCCCGGATTTCCTTGCTTTTCCTGGGAACTAACAGGATCGTCCTCAGACAGCTACAGTGATTCAATGGTTACCAAATCACCATCTGGGTCACTGTTAACCTGAGTCAGATGTGACTTCCACTGTTGAAAGGTACAGCCGCTTGTTTAATGATTCTTAATCTTTTCCTTAATTAAACCGTGCAGCCAACCTGAAAAATCTATCTTAATGCAAATGAGGAATTCCGTTCATTTTTTTATTTTTTTTTGGCATTTGCTTACGGTGATGCACTAATAAGGTTAATTTAATAAAAAAATCTGTTCCAGTTTTTAGAGATAATACAGTGTTTTCTTGATCCTTTTCTATTTGTTGAAATTACACCACAGATTCACAAGCCCCCATTGGCGGAGATGGGGGGAGGTTGTACGCGAATCCGAATCACATCACAGAATATTTAACAGCCTGAAAAGTTGATCCTGCACATTCCTCACTGCTGCTTCACCCTGCCATCAAATCATTATGTTACCAGTGATTTCACTGGAATCCAGCCTTGTGTAAGATCCACCCCCCACACTGATTGGATAAGCAGATGGATGGATGGATGGATGGATGGTGAATTTTTCTTTTAAATACTTTTAAACAGCACCACCACAAATATGTATGCACATCTAAAATATTTCTCTAAAGTTCAAATTATTAAGTCATTTCTAGCAAATACTGTGCATTCAGAAAGTGTTTAAATTAAAATTTTCTCTTATCAATCTACACTTAATACTCTATAATGACAAGCGGAACCATGATTTTAGAAATTTTGGCAACATAACAAACGTGAAAAAGTGAAGGGGTCTGAATACTTTCCAAATGCACAGTAAGTCACACCAATTAATTAAAAGACTGAGTTACCAGGTGTGGTGCATTTCACACGGTTTCTGCAGTCTGTGTAAAAGTACACATGTGGAGGATTTAAAGAACAAAATCGATGGTCTCCATCCACTGGCCGCGGGTTGAAAGCTAATTAATCTTATTCAGAACTGCAACAGAAAAACAGTGAGAGAAAGTGTCCCTTTGATTATTGTGAGTATTTTCCTAAATGTACAGCATAAGTCAAAGTAACCCTCTTTTATTGCTGTTATTGTTATTGCTCTTAACAGAGACCTGTCATATACCCGGAATGGCAAGGCATGAATCATCCCCCCACACGCACCCAGGAGACTCTATTCCTTCCTTCAGAAGTTTATTCTGTTCCTCCCGATTGCCCGCAGAAGCACGTTTAGGTTTCTCAGAAGAAAGGAATGGCGCCATACTCTTGTGTCAGCCCAAACCTCTGGGAACAGTCTCTGTTTGTTTATGCCTCTAGTATCAGTCCAGGGGGAAAACGAGCACCCTGTCATTTACCATCTTTGTCTCTAAAAATTACCGCAGGACGCCATTCCCACCCAACTTTCCCATAACTTGGTCATCACTTCAGAAGAGAAAATCATTTAAATAGACTCATCGTCGTATTTCATCCTGCAACATGCCACTTTCATCGCGGCATGGATAGCAAGACGCATGCGATCCGGCCACTTTTTAGCACCCACATGTGCTGCCTTTTACCCAGGCGGGGGCAGCCTGACTTCAGAGAATCACAAAGCCCAGAACCAGATGGCTCGACCCAAACGAGCAGGCCGCATTTGGGCCATAATGGGCATGGCATGAATCAGCTAACCCGGATGGAGCACGGAGGTGCGTGTGATGCTTCCGTAGGATCTGCTCTCCTCCCTGTCCTTGCTCCCGTGGCTCCTGAGGATTCTCGCAGATCTTGCTGGAACCCTGTCCAACCATGATGTGCAGCACATTTTTGATTTCTGGTCCATTTTGCTTAGTGGGGGATGGGCACGGTGATCAAGCGAGGTGTCCAAGGCCGTTTTGAGCCTGCATTTAGCTGGGGAAGCAGCCATTAATTGGGTGACATCATTTCCAGAAGCTTACAGTGGATTACTGCCAAGACGAGTTCTCGTTCTAAAGACAGGAGATACCTGCGCGGGGGGCTTACATGCACGGTGAGCATTAAGCCCGACAGCGTGTCTACCTGCCGGTTTGCGAATGCAGCCTTTCAGTGCTAATCTTCCTTTTGTACTCTGTCAAAGGCAGATTCAGGCAGCCTCCACGCTCCTCAGCCGCCTGTGGAATAGGAGTCTCTGCATTTCCTTCCCGTTTCCGCGCACCGCTGAGCACGCTCATCCCCTTCCCCTGCTGATGTTTCCTGACACGGTTGGCGTCTCTGGGAGGTGGGCGCCGCGGGGCACCGTCATGGCAGTGTGGCGTATCCCAGCATGCTCGCTGGTGCTGGCCCACACCCACCGGGCAGCAGGTACCCCATGTCGGCGCCGTAGCTCATCAATGGCGTGTCAAAGTTGCTACGACAACAGCTATTCCGAGGAAATTTTAAAAAAACGTATCCTTCAAAGTCCCACCAGCAGCTGATTTTTGACCCAGGATTCTGCATTCACTAAGACGCGTCTAATTAGGAAGTGTGTGACAGGCATGGAGGTGAAGCGGGGGGGGGCAATGACATGGAAGTTGGGGCAGTTTCTCTGCTACTCTGTAGCGGAGGCCGTTGCAGTCAGGTGACCTGAAGTCAGGCCTAACGGTTCTGACGGCAGAGACGGCATCGAGGCCTCTGGGATCATGACCCGGGAGGCTGGCAAGCCGCCTCAGTTTCCCGCATCTTTCTTCAACAGTGAATAACATTTACGGGCAGCGGAAGAGGGGCCGAGGAAGCCTGCAGCATCACCTAGGAAGATGCATGGATCACACCTTGGCTTAATGAGCTTCTTAGAAGATCCAAGATAGCACATCTCCCCGACGACTGTCAGGTGAAGTATCGCTCATTCACGACTTAGGATTTCACGGGGGGGGGTTAGGTGATCAGATAAGGAGAGTTGGGTGGGAGAGTAACACGGTGGTATAGCTAATTTTTTGATATAAAGAAAAGACTTGGCAATTATGTGGATGTAACAAAGCTGAAGCCGCACGGGCTCGGTGGTCTGGATCACAGATACACCACATTCGAATAAAAACACAGTCCCTTAATACACACAAGACCCTCAGGACTACTTTGCAAATAAAAAATGACACACAGAGCCCAAAATTAGAGCCTTTAATCTTCAGAGGATATACCTTGACCATAAATCTCACATTTACATTTATTCATTTAGCAGATGCTTTCATCCAAAGCAACATGCCATCGAGAAGATGGGGTCACACAGGCCCCGGTGGTTAAGAGCCTGTTCACGGGCCCAACAGTGACTCCAAAGACCTTTGGACTAACACAGGGGTAGGTGGAGTTGATGCTGTTAATGGTTGCAGTTCACTCCATAGGTGATGAGGGGCGCCACTCTCCAGCTGCGAGTGATACAGAGGTGAGGATAAGCTGTGGTACCTATCAATGCTAACCGAACCAGAGGGCTATGCACACACACTACGCAGCATCGCATTCGGATTGTTGCTGTTCGGCCTGCCTGACTCGATGCCCTCCTAAAGGCTCCACCATCTCCCCACAGATCAGACTGTTTGATGTGCACTATGCCTGCCGAGAAAAGCTCTCATTTTGCTCTGCTAACTAACCCCTGACTCTAGTCATCATGGTGTGGACCTGGCAATAGACAGCTCAGCCTCGCTGCTCGGGCCAGACCAATTACAGGGGACGATGGCCAGACACAATGTGGAGGCCTCCACCACAGGGTCACTTCAAAGGTGAACGGTGACCAATTAGAAGGCTATTGTCTGGGGGGGCGATTGTCAGCTGGCAATGATTGTAATACTTCCAGGGACAGTGAGTTAGGGGGGTGGCTTGCAAAGACTGATCCCCAGATTTGTGGGGGGGTCACTGTTTTATCAGTAATACTGCCTTTAATTCTAAATCATCCATCAAAGGTCAGTTTGTTAAATGAAACATACAAGTGTGCTTTGCTGGGGAGGGGGCTCTTGCCCACAAGCCAAGATCTCTGTGGGGAAATTGGCTGATGATTCACCCTGGTGAGGTGCCAAGCCATCCGGGGGGGGGGGGGCTTCATCCATCCACAGAGCACACCATCAGTGAGGAGGAACTACAGGTATTCGTGGCCGGGTGCGAGTCCAAGGCTAATGGTTCAGCACAGCGACTGGCAAAACAGCAATACTCCAGCAGGGAGGGAGAGAAATGCCCCCCCCTTCCCAAATTTGTCTCGCCAAAACAGACCGTGAAAAATCACCGAGTCTGATTAATGAGAAAAATGACCTGAACACATGATGTAAAATGGTCACCTAGGCACAGTGGGGATTAATGCCCATTCACACCCCCACAGGTTTATTGCTGTCATACTGCAAAGAGGGGGCCAGAAGCCTATCAAATTCCTGTCAAACTCTTCAAAGCAAAGAGGGAATGAATTAAGCACATTAAACACGCCACCAGTGTCAGTAAGAGGTGGATGTTGTACCTGAACTGCTCCCCTCAGGGTGAAGTCGAGGGTGACAGGGAGCAGGGGGGCGTGTCCTGAATAAGAAGCGGGTATGCTAATCATCGAGAGGCGGACATGGCAACGGCAGGCGAAGGTGTTAAATTACTGTTATGGTGAGGGGGTGGGGGGTACGGCATTTAGGGGGGAGCGAGGGGGCTCAATAGAAGCTGACTGCCATCAGTACAAGTTAAACCACCAGACGGATGAAATGTGCGGTCACGGGTTCAAGACCTTGCTTAGCGATACCCAGGGGAGTTTCTAGCTGTTGAAAAGATCAGAGGCTAAGTCAAGTTTACCTGGGGCTTGACTTTCTTCCTTTTTGAAGGAAGATTGGCATCGGGGCTAAGATCAGACCTAATGACGCCCATGGCCATACCTGGGAGGAAGGAGGGAGGGGCAACAGGAGCTCATGTCAATGGGAGATGTTGGGGGGGGGTGTAAATTCTTCCCTCTCTCCATCTCGCCCTCATTCTCCCATGAACTATATTGATAAGAGCAGTGGGTTTTTACAAATATTTCCAGAGTGACTCCACCTCCATGTGGAAATGTTTTAATCGCCCCCATGAACAAGCAACCAGTGCCCACGGTGAGGGTGGAGACTGGGGGAGGGGAATCACCCAGGAAACAGGGCATCATTGATCACCACCCCCACCAAACATCTGGGAGAAGCTGAACAGATCGCCAGTGTGTTCAGGCAGCTGTTTGTTCACAGACCTTATAAGATGAGACAGATATTTATACCCCACACATTGGCTGCTCCCCCAGGGACTGCAGAAAAGGGGGCTAAGTTCTGTCAGAGCACATTAAAAAACACCCCTGCTTGCTATGAGTAAATCAAACTAATGCTTGTTAAATGTCAGAGAGACTCCATGAATGTGGCTGATTCCTTTGGAGGATGATGCCAGCCTGCTAGGCCAGGGGGTGACACGCCCTATGTGTAAACGCGAGGACATCCGCGTCACCACGGTGACATGCTGGCTTGCATGGCTCCAAGACAGGGGACACTCAAGATCCATCAAGTAATTATCCATCTCCCAGTGGTAGGAGCACTGGCCATCATTCCCTGACTGTCTATGCACATCCCCGAGGTGTCTGGAAAGAGTCTACCGAACAGGCTTTGGTAATTAAAGTACAACTAAAAATACAGCTTTGTGTCCCCTACATGTGTCCTTAGAACAACAGAAACAAGGCATGTTTCCCAGGAAAATATTACCCTGTAGTGTGAGACGATGTTAAAATAGCTTTTTGATCTCACTGACAAATAGGAAGGCCTCCACTGACTTTCCAAGAAGGCTGACCACTCGCTCGCATATCGATCTGTTCTCTCACCAGCCGTGTGTTCCTGTCTGATCCTGTTCATCCAGGAAGAAACACTTTGGTCTGTCCAAAGAGCGAAGCGCTAATGCTCCCACACGGCTAACTGGGGTTATGAGGCCATGTCAGTGCAGTCAGGCCTCAGGCGGGAACCCACTGCGGTCTCTGTCCCACTGGGATGTGCTAACAGGGGCACATCCATACCCCGCAGTCACAAGGCATCCGCACGCTTACAGGTGCCATTCCCTCTTTAATTGCTGCTTTAGTTTTTTATGCTCTACAGGTGTTAACATACACACTAGTTTTACATAAACATGACACTCCCTCATACCTGCTTAATCTGATTTCCATTTGTCAAGCCCAGACAGTGTCTCCACATGTTGCTAGTAAAAGAGCCGTAAAAGCATCCCAACTCACCTGTGCTGCATTGGCTTTGGACAGATTACTTGAATTAACAGAGGATTTGCAGGCGTGAAGATTGCATTACCCAAACACCACTCCTCCGCCCCCTGCCAGTTTTCATCCATGTATGAAATCAACGAGCGACGGATGGTTTGCTGCACCTGTGAGTCTGCCTGCCTGCCTCGTTAGCCTGACGCCTACCTGTCCGCGCCAGGCTCTCCATACTGACAGGCGGTAAATTTGTTCTCAGAACCCATGGTACAGTGAGTCCCTCAACTTGAGACACCCTGCCAGCTCTGTGTATTTCAGCTCTAGCTCTCCGAATTTAACTTATTATAGGCCGGAGGGTTAGTTAATTAATGAGATCATCCAGTAGTGAAACAGAACAAACACATCAAAACAATCCATCCATACATCTGCCAACCGGTTATCCAGTAGAATGTCTTGGGGCGCCTATGGAGGCAGGGTGGGGGCAGGAGCCTATGGCAGGCAGAGTGGGGGCAGGAGCCTATGGCAGGCAG